GGGGAGGGAAAAGCAAAAGGGAAGAGTTGTTTGTTAATCCTGCCAAAGGGGCACTATTTGTTGAAGGACTGCTGGAGTTAAAACATGGATTGATTGAGTTGGAGAGGGCTTATAATAAAATCTTCAGCCCTGGTGTGCAATCTTTCCCTACTTGAGAGGCAACACCAAGTTGTGTTTGGCTTTCCTTCATACAGCATCCCGGGGTGACTTTCACACCCCAAGGTCAAACTATGTTGTGTAATTTACACCAAGTCTACCTACAATCTAATTGTTCCAAAGTCTGCCAGCTGCATGGCCATTTCAGTCATGTGCCTTCTTGATTTTTTTTCCTATAAACTACCAATGTCTGGAGCACAAAATCTGCCTAACACTTAGCCATTGGGGTGCTTTTGTTACCCCACACAACATAAATGCATTGGGGGCACAAAAGGAAGTTAACTACTGGTCATCTTAGTTTGCTTTGAATATCATGAAGTGGGGCAAACCCCTCCTCCAACCAAACATTAAAATCCACTGGGTGAAAGTATTATTATTCTGATTGTAAGCTGACAGGGGAAAGCACAGTTTTTCTGACCCTATGTTGGTGGTGGAAACCTTGCTATGCTGGTTGTACCTTGATGAAGGATAGCTTTTGTCTGAAGTTACCTAGAGCAGCTGAAATGAGAGATCCATTGGTATGCTGACTAACCTGTTGGAAGAAATATCAAGTCAAACAAGGGCCTTTCCTTAAGGGACCTTTGAATCCCCAGAGGCAGTTTTGTGTTCTGGGATACAAAAATTATCCAGAAACAGCAAATGTTCATGGATGGGGTAGGAGGTTTATGCTGGGTGCTGGAACACAAGGAAGCTAAATGCTCAGAGACATATCATCACACTCCCAGATTTGTTCCTTAAGTCAGTGCCCTTTCAATAGCTACCAGTAATGTGGCTGTCCCTAACATAATTACATTAATCAACTGCAATGTCTTGGATTTAGTACATATCAACATGTAATAACAGCCTCACCAATGTTCTTCTATACCTGGGTCCAAACACCACACAGGCAGGACCCAAGAATAGGTCATGGGGCTTTAATCTTTCAAAGGTCACTCATCTGGTCTCATTTCTGGCTTTGGGGGCTGGTCAGGTCTTGGTTGCTTAGAAGGCTTGTTTCTGGAGCTGCCTGGGCCTGGGGCAGCCTGGGTCAGTTCCTGCTTGCCCAACACAGCCAGCTTGTATATAGCAAGCAGTCACTTGGCTAAGTCGATCGACTAACGTGACAGCTGCTACCACAGAATACAACTTTCCTGGCTGAGCTACTAAAATAGACCCCTGTGAAAATTGCTAAATAATGTAAAGTGTAAGTCCTATTTTTAGATGGGAAGAGATGTTGCTGCACACGTGCTCTGCTGAAATGTACACTCTGGGTCTGAAGCCATTCACAGCCTCTTGCATGGCCACCTGCAGTACCAAATTTAATGTGTTAATCAGAAGTAAATCCCACAGGCCCCTGTCACAAAATTAAAATTTAATATGCACATGGATTTTTTTTCTTTAATGCAAGCCAGGTTTAAATATAGAACCTGGATTCTAAAATAGACTGTTTGGATCTGAGGGAGATAATATCAACTGGAAAAGAATAAAGTTTCAGACAGTAGCTGGAGTTTGCACAATGCTTCTATCACTCTTCAACTGCTCTGTGCCATTTTCAGAGGCTAAGCTTAAGGACAGTTGCCCTGACCAAGCTCTAATCATGCATGAGGCAGAGCTAAGCATGACTAGCTGAGCCAGAAGGTAGAGACAGGACTGTGCATTTTGGTGCTTTTGCAGTTGCTGATGTCTGTCTGCATTGCCTTTCTCTTTATTGGACACATATCTGAAGGCACATTCTCCTCCACATTGTGGTGCAACTCTCTATGCATAAGGGTAGATAAGCAGAGCTAGATTTGGTGCAGTAATTTTGTTTGGAAATGTGCATGGAATAGAACCAGGATTGCACATACCAAAGGGCATGCTTCTTAGGAGCACTGGGAACTTTGCAAGGCTGCCTCTGAACTCCGGGCTTACAGCCTCCAGTACTCTTAATGGGACCAAGCAGCAGCTGCCTCCAGGACCTGCACCCTGGACAGTCATTTTTGGTCAGCTAGAGAAGTGCCAGAAGGAGGGAGGAAAGGAAACTGGGGTGCAAATAGGAATTTGCATAGGTCTTCAGCCCCAGCCTCTACTCCCAGCAGGGACCTTTTTCTCCCCTCCAAGGCCCATGTGTGCCTTCAGAGGAGGCACCTGGCACAGTTCTTTCTGCATGGCTTGGCCTTTGGAGTCCCAGCTCCAAAACTGCAGGATCCCAGAGCCGGGACTCCAGAGAATCCTCTAGTGCCCTAGGCAATGTTGGGAGGCCACAGGATTGTGCCCTATGCATCTTATAAACTGCTTGATATAAATAAGCATATCTTGTATCAAGCTTGTTATTGCTATCACAACTGCTACTTTAAATAATATAAATAATACTGTGGATTGGATGACCACATTTCACTTTGTTGTTCTTTTGCATAAATGCCAGGCTGCTTAGTATGTCACACACACACACAGAGCAGTAGCAACAGGGTGTTGCTGGAAAACGATTGGATATGTCATATTGAAAGATGAGTGGGTATATGACCGCCTGATGTTGTGGCTGACATGTTAGTTCCTGCAATAGCATTGTCAGAGCAAATATAGTGATGGAGCTGGTATCTGGGTCTGTTGCAGTGTTTGATTTCTGTGTTCATAACTTTGTTATAAAGTCTTTTAAATCCTTACAAGAGCTGGCATTTTTCAGACTACAACACTCACCCAACAAAGTGAAAATGACCAAAAGGGCCAGACTGCTAGCAGGAATAGTCCAGTACAGGACAGATCCAGGAGAGGAGTGGGGGCGGGTGAGAGAGCGAGAAGGAATAGGAATACTGAATCCCTCTCCAGTGTGGCATCAGTGATCTACAGTCCTGAACAATGCCCCTTCCCAAGGCCATGAATAGGAGGCCTGGGTGTGCTTAAAGATAACTGTCCAGCCTAAAAGTGTTATGTACCAGCAACAACAGACCAGGATAACAAGGATACCTGTAGGAACCAGTCTAGACCACCAGCAACAAACCCAAAAACTCTTTAAGAGATGCATATAATACCAGTCCAACTGGAACGAAGCTTTGGTTTTAAAAACATGGAACCAACTAATGTAATTAATTTATCAATGTATCTATGTTTGTTTTTCAGGAAACGTCTTTGTCGTCAGCCTAGCCATCGCAGACCTGGTTGTGGCCATCTACCCATATCCTCTAGTCCTAACATCTGTCTTTCACAATGGATGGAACTTGGGATATGTCCATTGCCAAATCAGTGGGTTTCTTATGGGCCTAAGTGTCATTGGATCCATATTCAACATTACTGGAATCGCAATCAACCGGTATTGCTACATCTGCCACAGCCTCAAGTATGACAAGCTGTACAGCGACAAGAATGCTCTGTGCTATGTCCTTCTCATCTGGCTCTTGACCTTTGTTGCCATTGTGCCCAATTTGTTTGTGGGATCCCTTCAGTACGATGCCAGGATCTACTCATGTACCTTCTCGCAGTCAGTGAGCTCTGCGTACACAATAGCAGTTGTGTTTTTCCACTTCATGCTCCCAATCGCTATAGTTACATTTTGCTACTTGAGGATATGGATCCTAGTCATTCAGGTACGGAGGAGAGTTAAACCTGATAACAAACCCAAATTGAAGCCACATGACTTTAGGAACTTTGTGACCATGTTTGTGGTCTTTGTACTCTTTGCGGTATGCTGGGCTCCTTTGAATTTCATAGGCCTCGCAGTGGCTGTCAACCCAGAAACAATAACTCCCCAGATTCCAGAGTGGTTGTTTGTTTCCAGTTACTACATGGCATACTTCAACAGCTGCCTTAATGCTATCATTTATGGACTCTTGAACCAGAATTTCAGACGAGAATACAAGCGAATTATTGTGACAATTTGTACAGCAAAATTTTTCTTTCAGGACAGCTCCAACGATGCAGTAGACAGGATGAAAACCAAACCTTCACCGCTAATCACAAACAACAATTTAGTGAAGGTCGACTCTGTGTGAAAAGAGAAACTTTGTTATTGATGATTTAAGACAACACTCAAATGCTATATCTGTCTGTTAGCCCCACAGTTCAAGTTCTTCAGTGAAACACCAATGTACAAATGCACTCGGGTGAAGTTTGACATACTGTTATCTTTGAGCCAAAGTTATCATTTTTACATAAAGATTCTTCTATTGCACTATGTAATATTGCATACAGTGGGCATGATCCAATCAAAGTTAAATGGTTAATATCCATTCATACAAGTAGCTAAATCCCTTCCACTGAAATAAATTAAACCAATGCATTTTCTTTGTCTGAATAATTCCCAGTGATACTCTGATACAGCTACAAGCCTATAATTCAATCATATACATTACTTCTCAGAAATAAGTCCCACTGAGCTCTATAGGGCTTATTTCTGGGTAAGTGCGTATAGTATGGCAACCTTAGGTTACTATAGAAATACAGAATAATTTTTGTAAATCTTTTGTTTAACTTAAACACTAGAGATGACTGGAACTAATATGGAAACAGGAGTTTAATTGTGTGTGTGTGTCTGTGTGAGGGCACACATGTGCACACATATGCACACACACCCCATCTTAAGCTTTCCAGAACTGGAATGTAAACATGCAAAGTAAAATATGATAGCAAAATTTTCCATTCTCAGTGACTCCTACCACAGTGAAAAAGTGATGATAACTAAGAGAATCCCATACATTTATTAAATCAATAATAAAATGAATGAAGACAAGTAAAGCCAACATGGTACTTGTTGGTATCAGAGAGTACATGCTTCGTAAAACACAAGTAGTAAACAATGTTTAAAATGATCAGGAAATCTTCGCACTTGAGAGCTACCCAGGATCAGTAAGGGTCGAAAACCATGACATAGTCATTTAGTTCTATGCCATGGGGAAGAAAACAGAGGCACGCACTGAAGTTATTAAGGATGGAAGCCCCATCATGTTTCACTATGGTGGAAATGGAGGATGGTGAGGCACGTGGACATACAAGTCCCTTTTCAAGAGCAGAACTGTAGTGTCAAGGATCATCTTTACAGTCATAAGAGATCATATGGGAACCGAAAGCTTCTGCCTGTTGAAATGGGTACCAAAATCAATGATAATCACACTGAACTCCATTACTCTCCCTTTGCTTGGAATGCATGGTGGAAAGGAAAGAACTAGAATAACATGCATGGAGTTGGAGGAAGACAGAGCTTTTTATTGAAAAAGGCAAAGATCAGGTACTTAACATTAGCGCTCACAAACTCCCTCTTTCCCACAAATGTGTCCTCTTTTTAAGCTGATCGAGATAGAAGCCATACGAAAGATAGGTCTATGCAAATTGTTATTTTCCAGTTTCTGGTGATTTGTGAAAAATCATGTTGTTTGGATAAAGCTGTATTGAAGCCTCCTGTTCAGATTCTATCCTTGTCTCTTAAAAATATTCCCTTGGAAAATGCAGTACTACATTCAGTTGAAAATGCTACATTGGCCAGGTCTTGATGTTTCGAGTCACCAATAATCCAGTTTCTTGCATTTGCAAAGTATGGTAAAAGGTACCCAATATTAGTTCATACCATCTCTACTTTGGGGAGGGGAAAATAATTTAACCTTTGTTATTGTAAGTTGAAATTGTACAGTGTAGCTAAACAAAGTCAACCAATGACATATAGTATAACCTAAAGATAATTGGTTTCCAACACTTTAGACTGAAATGCCTTCAAAAACACTAACTGTTGATCATATTCTGTGCAATTATCTTCAGCACAAGTCATACCATCAACAAATATCTCATATTTTGGGGGGAATAATATGACTGTACAATTTTATGTAGCTCATGAAGCAAATCAAATACATGCATACATACTTGAAGCTCCCACTGACATTCAGGCAACTAAATAGGTGTTTTATCTTAAGAAGAGCTTTGTGTTGTTCTTAGCTCACTTTACCTTCGCAATGAAGCAGCTGCAGCAATAGCCACCTTCTTCTGTCTGACCAAGATGGACAGTGAATTACTCAAGGCACACAGTCCACCTTTGTTTGCACTCAGACCATACTTGCCAATCAAGCCACTGTGTAAATAACCAGCGTTCTTCTATTGTGACATCTTGTGATATGATTGCCCAAATGAATTCTCTATCACAGCTTCCCTCACAGCGATTCCATCCTTAGAAGATGCTTAGTTGTATATTGGCATTGCTTATTACGTAGTGATATCAAAACAACAAGGGTGGTTGGAACATCTGATTATAATCATATAAGAGAAACACACTGTTTAAATGATCTCAAAATATTGCCTTACTTAAACAATATAATGACAACTAATACAGTAATGTTTTATAATACATCTGACAAAGTAGCAAAAATGCAATTTCAGTAGCTTGAATGGTCTTTAGTATATTTTTGAAGAGGTTTTTCATTTTCCCTGTACAAATCGGAAGATCCAGCTGTAAATGCACATGCCTTGTTCAAACTATATCAGCCAGTATGGGCTATCAGAGGAACTAACAGTGTAAGGAACTAACAGTGTGACCAAACTATCCCAAACTAAGCTGAATTCGGGGGGTTTATTCCCAGGTAAGTAGGTATAGAATTGCAGCCAAGTCTCAGGCAAAGCAATTCTACCAATGGGCAAGAAGAACTGAAAGCAGAGGAAATGCCTTCTTCAAAGTCCAACCAGGCAAGGGTGAGAAGAACAGGACTTTTCTTCTTCCTGTCTTTGGTGGGTGATGGCTTCTTTTCACAATTTCCCTCCTGTTCAGGGGAGGGAAATTCTGCATGCCAGCTCCAGGGCTGTCCTTGCTGGGGACCAGGAGCGCTTAGAATCTAGGTACTGGGAGGGCTTGAAAAGCTACGGACTGCAAGCCCGTGACACACCATCCACTCCTGTACCGGCACTGGAGCTTGGAGAAGCAATAGTCCTGGACTCTCCCTTGAGCATGGATAATTTGAGGTCAGAACTTCCCTTCTGAGGGCAGATCTCTCTCTCCACTCTCAGAGGCAGAGAGCCAAACTGTCTTGTGGTCTTTCAGACATGCTTTGAGGGAACGTCATTGCAGGCTAAGGTTGCAGTCCTGCACCTGCTTCACTGGGAATAAACCCTGGTAAGCTCAGTGGGGCCTGCTTTTGAGTAGATGTGCATAGGATTGTGTTGGACAATATATTTTTATTATAATTATAAAAATATCATTTGCTATATGCAATTTAAAAATGTACATTATGCCAAAGGTCTATATTTTGGTGAAAAGGCCAGTTATTAAAATGGAGAGCATTTTCAGATCTGGTATTTTAAAATATTTGTATTAAATATCAATTCACAGAAAAATATGCATGTTGGTGATGTTATAAAGCTGCTAAATATAGCAATAATTTTAATGATGCATTCTATTTGTTCTTTCTTTGTGTGTTGTAGTTTTTTTTCATGCACAAAGTCCAAAAAATATTTTGTAGGATTACTTTAACTCCATTATTGGAATATTTTTCAGCCAGAAAAGAACAAGAGATGAAACTACATTTCATTAATCATGTATTTCAAAGATAACCACCAATTTTCAGTTATTATTTTCTTTTCAGAGATCCAATTCATTGGGTTGGATTAAAATTAAATTAATTATGCTTTTGCCCCACTGAAATTAACAGGACTTGAGTTAATCATGAGTAACTTCTTCCATCGATTTAAATGTGACTAAAGCATGTCTAATTTAATTTGGATTCAACCCATTGAAACAATAATCCACAGTATACTACAAATGTGTATTTCCTTTCCTAAAAGCTTATCTGTTTAAAAAAAAGGTTTCCAGGATTAATATAAATATAGGATTGAGCCTAGCAGGCCTTTTACACATCCCTTGTTGTATATCAGACACCATCCCCTCCTTCCCAAATCATCTTTGAAATTAAGTTGCAAAGCAACTATAATTTGCATAGCTATTTTTCCATTATTAGCAATCCGCATACTTTACCAAACCGTAAATGATACCATCAAGAAGCCAGTTCAAATTTGACTGTTGTCAACAGAATGGTTATTATTCACAGTGGTTACCAGGAGTATCTTCTTTCTCCAAGTAACCCAAACAATCCAAAGGGGATTCAAAGTGACTTGTTTAATAGGCACTGCAGCTTCTAAGGAACTATGCCAGGCTAAACATTATTTGCTGAAGAACAGGAACAGGTTAGTGCTATTATGGGCTTCCCATATGAATCTGGTTGGCCTCACTGCAGTAGATGGGCCTCTGCTAAAATCCAACAAGCCCTTTTGTGATGGTGCAGTCTGCTTTGGACTATGCTTGTTATGTCAGTTTGACTTTATTTAGAGTGACTGAGAGTAATATGTTTTAGGATGTCTCCAGCTGAAATGATTGCCCAAAGATCTCAGCCTACAGAAGTCCTGCACTTAATATATGCAAGTCCCATGGCTTAATGTTGCTGGTTGAAATTTATCGTTGAGGTACCTGCTTCCACTCCACAGCTTCATTGACAAGTCTGCTTGGGAAGCAAGAACCCTTGACCCAGTGCTCATTGTTGTGTATATATCTGTAAAAGCAGCTGATTTATGATAGATGGTATAGAGTACTGAAGCTACAATTGCACTGAATCCATTCATTCGAGAAAAGCTTGACTGAATTCATTCAGTACCTTTCAGGGTATTGAAGCATCCTGAACTACTGCAACTCTGTTTCACTTACCATTTCATTATCTTGCTCTCAGGATGTTCTTATCAAATTTTCTTCCTTATTAGTTTAACACAACAGGTGAACTTGGTATGCCCTGCAGAACTATTAGGTAAGCAATGTGCAAAACTTTAGACACATTGTTGTAGGTTATGATGAGCAGAAAGTCCACTTACCTGATTGAGTAGTTGGTACCAGCAGGATCCATCTATTGGATGCTGAATAGGCAGATATAAGCATAATTTACTTAGCCATTTTTGGAAGTCTGGCATTCTGCTGTTATCACAGAGACATGGTCCAAAGTTGCAGGAAAAAAACTGAAACATCTTCTGTAAGGTCCTTCTACAAGCTTGCCCCTTACACTGTGATTGGGTGTAAAAAGGAGAGCCCTGAGTTGGAGCCTACTTCTGTCAGTCCCAAAACTTACACCCTTCATCTTCCTTGTGTGCATGTGGAGGGGGTGAAGAGGAGCCAAAGATTGTCCCTTATCCTCCAGACCTGTCAATCTGATCTGAATCTTCAGGAGGAGACCACTTTCATTTCATTTCATTTCATTTCATTTCATTTCATTTCATTTGTATGCTACCCCGTAGCCCATAGGCTATGTACAAAAAGTACATATACCATAAAAATACAATACTACATTAGAGCAATTCAATTAAGCAATGCAATATTTAACTGTAAGTGATGCAAAATCAAACAAACATTAATACAATAATATAACACATAATGAAATACGAAATATCAATACATAAAGGATACATAACACAATGTGTAATATCAGTAATAATAAGATACAGCCATAAC